CCCTTCATGGTGGACTATAAACTTAAATCAACCCTTTCCTCCCCGACTGGCTTTGGTCATGGTGTTTTATCACAGCAATAGAAACCTAATTAAACAAACAAATAGATAAATAAATAAAAATAAGGGAGCTGGAGAGGTGGCTCAGTATTTGAGAGCCCTGGCTGCTCTTCCAGAGGACCTGGGTTTGATTCCCAGCACCCACACAGTGGCTCACAACCACCCGTAACTCCAGTCTCAAAGAATGCAACGCCTTCTTCTGGCCTCTTCAGGCACTGAGGCAAAACACGAATACATATTAATAAAATTTAAAAAGGAACCTAAGACAAATGTTGACATGAAACTGTTGAATCCAGCATTTGTTCATCTCTCCAGTAAAAAGGCACACCATCAAGGAACAGAGCCCAGCAGGTCCTCCCTAAGAGTCTAAGGAATGGCCAGGCAGTGGTGGTGCACAGGCCTTTAATCCCAGCGCTGGGGAGGCAGAGGCAGGCGGGTCTCTAGGAGTTAGAGGCCAGTCATCTACAGAGCTACTCCTGGGACAGCCAGAGCTGTTAACTCAGAGAAACACTGTCTCGAAGGAAAAAAAAAAGTCTAAGGAATTCAAAGCACTGAATGCCATGCAGGAATCTGGACCACAAAGACATCAGTGAGGGAAAAAGAAGGGTGAAATCTTGAAATCTGATCAAAATTACAGCCTAGTTAATAGCATTGCGTCGGTGTTGTGTTGGTAGCTTTTACCAATATGCCACAGTTGTGTTAACTTTAGGATGACGCTGTGTAGTCATTGTAGCTTTTCTGTAAGCCTGAAATGATTGCAAAAACAACAGTTTAGTGAGAGAGGAAAAAGTGGGGGACGGGAGGAGACCGGAGGATTATATAAGGTCAGAAATGGGGAACTCAACTGGAGTGACAGGCAGAGCAGAAGCCAGCTCAGGGGCCCCTACATCATAAGACAGAGTTCAGACTTGAGTGTCTCCAGGCAATGACTCCATGACAATAACAGACAAGCCCAGATGAACATCCATGACATCTTTCTTTAAGTTCATCCTGACCTCATTTCACCTTCCCATAGCTGCCTAAACTCACACTCTAAGGTACACACTCTCATATATGCAGACACAAAACAGACACGTGTTCATACACACACACACAAACACATACATGCATACACATACACACAAACACACACACATGCATACACATACAAACACACATACATACACACATGCATACACATACACACACACACACACACACACACACACACACACAGTCCACCCCAGACACATTTGGGGAACACAAGGTTCCTAATACAAGGAATTTATAGTACTTGAGTATCTATTCATATGGTCCCTGCGGCACAGTTAGTGGTTTCACTTGCCTTTGGTAGAACCTGCTCAAGGCAGACTCCACTGAGCTGGGTGGAAGTGGGAGGTGCCCCCTTCTGCTGTTCCCAGCATGCCCCATCTCTCTGGTTTGTGGCTTCAGGCTACTCAAGGTCAGTCAAGTAATGTGTGTTCCCACAACCTCGCTGCCCTTCACCTTCACCCCACTAATTCTGCCCTCGAGATTTTGCATTCCAGCTGGGTGGTATACTCCTTTTAAGTGGAATGTGGCCCCTGCCTCCCTGCCTGTGCCTGTAAGCCCACAGGGCCTGGCACATGTGAGGGAGACACATGGTGAGCAGGAATCAACATGCTCCGAATGGAGATGCTCAGGAGACAGAACTAGCTCTTCAAAGAGGAAAGCGATCCTCTTGCCCAAAGTCCAGGACTCCAAGGCTGGAGGACACTATCACATTGTAGCACCCTAGCCACCACACCTTAGCCTGAGAGTCTGGTTCACAGCTGAGTTTGGGCTTGTAAAGATGGCTCCACAGTTAAGAGTTCTTGCTGCTCTTCTCCAGGACCTGAGTTCAGATCCCAGCTCCAGAGAATCCAGACTCCTAGCTCCCGAGTGCACTCACACACACGGCAGACACACATATGCACAGATAAAATAAAAACAAAGTTCAAAGGGTCTTTTGTGAGCATGTTCCAGTTTACAGAGCGCTTCCACATCCAAGGGCTCATTTGATGCTCAGTGATCACACTGAGGAATATCAGCCCACTTTGTGGATAAGGAAATGGAGTCTCAGAAAAGGGAAACGATTTGCCTAGGTTGTCATAGCAACCAGGCGAATGCCCTGGAGTTTGGACCTGAGATTGCTAGTCTTTTCCTTCTTCTCTTCCTTCCTATGAAAGGACACACACACACACACACACACACACCCCAGAGCCTCTTCTGCCAAATCCAGAAGTATCCAAAGAGAAGCTGCTGATGCTACCTGTGGTTGCTATTGCCTACCACTGAGCCAAGGGCAGGTCCACCAGGGTTCCCACCCACCTACCCACCTGCAGGGTACAGAAAGAACAGTGATCTCTATGCTGCTGTGGAAGGAATTGCTTGGAAGGGACAGAAAAAAGACAAAACCAATGTGCAAACTCACATGAGAATCAGTTTGTTTGCAGGTAATCTCAGGACAGCACAATCCTAAATCACCAACCTGCAGCCCCTTCCCTCGCCCTCTATAATCAAAGGACCAATACAGTGAAGAGGACCAGGCACACCCCCAGATATTCCAGAGGCACAACTGAACCAGCAGGAGCAACATAATGAGACCTCCTTCCAATCAATGAATAAGGAAAAAAGGCACTAAGCATTGCCAATAGCAGCATAAGCACTCACCCTGGGAGAGTCTTTTAGCCTGAGGCTCTGGGGTTGGGCCACCTGAGTTCATTCAAATCCAGGCTTCCTCAAAAGTTAATAAACCTTTGTGACTTGTTTTCTTTGCTTATAGGCGATGACAAGACCTCAACTTCAGAGGGCATTTGCATATTAAATTGGCTTCTCAATGCCCAGAGTGTAATAGACACCCAGCCATTTTTAGTTCTAGAGGCCTGCTTTCAGCATTCAGCCTGCCTGTGACTGGAGCAAGGTTGGGAGTGTTGTTTGTTTTGTAAATGTACTAGATATAACATTACAGCCCAGACTGAACCTAAGAGTCTACTGGATAATTCAAAAGAAACAAGCAGCTTGGCATGAAGGCTCATGCTTACAAATCTAATATTTGTAAGACTGAGGCAGGAAGATGGCTATGATGGTTCTGGGGCTAGTCTGGGCTACATACTAAGTTCAAGGTCAACATGAGCTAAAGAAAAAGAATCTGCCTCAAAAATGTAATCAAGGGCCAGTCATGGCGGTGCATTCTTTTAATCCCAGCAGTTGGGAGGCAGAAGCAGGCAGAACTCCATGAGTTTGAGGGCCAGTCTGGTCTACATAGTGGGTTCCAGGCAAGCTAAGACTATGTACTGAAACCCTGTTTTGTTTTGTTTTTTTTTTTGGGGGGGGGGTTAGTTAAAATAAATAACAAATAAAACAGAATAGTTAAAATAAATAAATAACAAGTAAAACAGAGTATGCTATGAGAGTGGACATGAGCAACCTTTGATGACTGATGATGCTGGGAAGGTAGCTGCTGAGCTAGCCTCAGAGAAGGCTAAGCTGAAATGCCTAAGGGCCAGGAACTGGGGCTGGGGAAGGGAGTGAAGAACCCAGACACGAGGATGTGTGTGACATCCTGAAAGAGCAAGCAGAATTGTAAATAGTGATGGAGAAGGGACAGCCAAGAGCCTCTCTGCCCATCTCAGATCCAGGACATCAGGTTCCTGTACATTCAATATTTACTATAGGACAACTTTGTGCCTGACCTGTTGGTCAAATTGCAAAAGCCGCACCAAGAATGGCCAAGTCGTCCCACACTTACGGAGTTGACTTTTTAGCTAGAATAGTTGAGTAGATAATGATAGACACTCTAAAGCCTCTCTCCATTCTGTAAGAAGGTAGCAGCATTACAGAAAAATCACTCAGAGGTTGTAAGGGGACTAGGAAGTCTTCAAACAGGCAGGATAAGCAAAAAAAAAAAAAAAAAAAAAAAAAAAAAAAGACAAAGGGTGAAGAAACAAAGCTTCAGGAGCACAACAAAAGGATGGTTTTAAACCCTGGTTCCTTCATACTTCACACACACACACACACACACACACACACACACACACACACACACTCTAAGAGGGATACCCTGAGATATATTTGTCATGCTGAGCAAGAGGGAGGAGCAGAGAGTGACACATTAGGAATTCCCAGCAAGAGCTAAATTGCTCTGTGTGGACATATGCGGAGGACAATCACAGGCAATGAGGACCAGAAGGCTGCCAGAGCCTGGGGATGGGAGGAGACAAGATTGTCTGCATGAAATGGGATTTTTAAAGCAAGAGATATTCAAAAGGGACCTGTGTGTGTGTGTGTGTGTGTGTGTGTGTGTGTGTGTGTGTGTGTGTGTGTGTGTGTTTACATTGGCCAGACATGTTTGGGATGGATGTGCATGTATGGAAGTACATCTGGAAGCCAGATGTTGATGTCAATTGTCTTCAATCATTCTCCAACTTATTCTCTAACTTTTATACTGAGGTAGGGTTTCATATTTGAACCCGTGTGTGTGTGTGTGTGTGTGTGTGTGTGTGTGTGTGCGCGCGCGCGCGCGCGCGTGTGTGTTTGATTGTCTTGGTTTTTGACAGTTTGGGAGGTTGTTTGGTTGGTTGAGAAGGGGTCTCACTGTGTGGCCTTGACTGCACAGGAACTCACTTTGTAGACAAAGGTGCCTTTGAACTCACAGATGGCCACCTACCTCTGCCTCCCAAGTGCTGGGATTGAAGGTGTGCTCTACCACAGCTGTCCTCCACATATTAGGATTACAGGTCAGTCCAAGAAGCATCTAACAGGGTGATGGGGGCCCAAACTCTGGTCCTCAACAGTTGTGTAGCATGTGCTTTTTATCCACTGAGCCATCTCCCCAGCCCCTAACCATGGGGCTTTAGTCAGCATACATTTTCTTACACGCCTATCGTTACACTTTGTTCTTACTGTGTCCATTTGCTTCCTCGGCCCTCTCTCCCATCTTGCTGCCCACTATAAAGCAGTTCCCAGATTTGCATGCCATCCTTGCACAGGGACCATGCTGATCTTCTCTGTATCGTTCCAGTTTTTAGCATCTGTGCAGCTGACAGTAAGAACTGAAAGGGATTTTTAGAGCATCTGTAACCCCCTCCGTCAACCTACCCTTGAAAGCCTGACCAAAACCATACATTCACAGATGAATGTGTGTGTGGAGTGTGTGTATTCAATGCAATGAAAACAGTTATGGATGAGGACAGAGCTCCTTCAGTGCCATCACAAAGCAATCCCTCTGGTGAGGTGTGCAGACCAGAAAGCCGGAAATCAGTGAGCCAGGACAGTGAGGAGAACAATGACCAGTTTTGAGGGCGTGACCCCTGTTATTGGAGGGGACAAGAGCAAGGAAAGATAAGCCAATGCTGAGTGACAATCACGAAGCCTGGGGTCTTACCTTCTCCTCTAACACTTGACCTTGTGTGGGCTTGGTTCCTGTGACAGTTTAGTTTTTCATCTCAGCTTGATTGGGTCTGGACTCACTAAGGACAAGCTGCTGGGCACACCTGTGAGGGTTTTCTTGACCAGGCAGCAGCCCTATTAAAGGAGATCCAAGGGCAAAGCTTTGCTGTTTGCCTCGTTGCCTTCACATCTCATTGGCAAGTTCATCGACTCTGTTGCTGCTGCGCTCCCTCACGGATACCAACTTCATCAGGCTTCCAATGTGCACTGAAGACCAGACACTCTCCAAGAGCCCTCCAGGCCTTCAGCACACCACTCTGGGGCTGCCAAGACTCCAGCTTCATGGACTGAACAGCTACAGTTTCACCTTCTCCAGGGTGAAGAAAGCCACCGTTGAGTTGACTATCCAAATCGGGTCAGGTAAGCCAACCTAATAAATCCCCCTTTAATATATACTCAGCCTATTGCCTCTATTCCTCTCAAGATCCCTGACTACTACAGCCCTGCCCTGGGTAGTGAGTGCCTGAGATGCCCATTGGCAGCAGCATGAGAGGTATTAGGAAACAACCCCCCCATGCACTCAGCAGGTAAGAGCCTAAGAAAAAAGGAGGAGCGTCAAGGCAGGGCTTGGGTGCTGAATAAAAGGAAGAAAGACCAAAAAAAGAAAGAAAGAAAGAAAATTCATTTTACATGTAGGATCCCACAGAGATTTTGCACTCTGACCCCAATGTTTATTTTAATAGCTGTGCCCGTTTCCCTTTACTACCGTAATAAATTATGACAAATGTAATGGCTTAAAATAACACATTTAATTATTTTACTATTCCAGAGGCCAGAGGTCTAAAGTAAGTGGGCAGCGCTGTGTTTGTTCTCGCTGACAGTTGTAGGAGAGAATTCGCTTCTTCTCCTGGTCCTGCTTCCAGAGGCGTCCTGTCCCGTGTTCCTTGGCACATGGCCACACATCGTCCCAATCTGGGCCTCTGTCCTCACATCTTATTCTCTGGCTAGGAAACTCCTACCTCTCTTTCATAAGAACTCTGGTAGAATGGAGAGACGGCTCAGCAGTGAAGTGCACTGTCCCGTAACCACGTTTCAGAAGACTTAGGTTCAATTCCCAGCACCCACACGATGGCTTTCAATTGTCTGTAACTCCAATTCCAGGGAATCTGACACCCTCCTCTGTCCCCCATGGGTACCAGGCATGCAAATGGGGCATAGATGGACACATGCCAAAACACTCACTGCTAGTACACATAAATAAGATAAAAATACTTATAAAGAGAGAACTCTTTGCAAACTCGGGGGTGATGGCACACTACTGAAATCCCAATACTCAGGTCAGGTGTGGGGGTACACGCTGGGGGGGATCTCAGCACTCAGGAGGCAGAGATAAAAAGATCTCTGGGAGTTGGAGGCCAGTCTGGTCTATGTAGTGAGTTCTAAGACAGCCAAAACTACATAGAGAGACCCTGTCACAACAACAACCAAAGGAAGGGAGGGAGGGAGGGAGGGAGGGAGGGAGGGAGGGAGGGAGGGAGGAAAAAAAGAAAGAGAAAAAGAAAAAGAGAAATTCCAGTAATCAAGAAGATGAGGCAGGAGGATCTAGAGTTCAAAACCAGTTTGGGCTACTTAGTGAGAGCCTGTCAAAAACAAAAGCAAACAGCAAAACTCTCCTTTGATTACAAAGTTCTGCTACAATAATCCCCATTTCAAGATCCTTTGACTGTATCCAGCTAGGCATAGAGGTGCATCCACAAGTTTCGGAGACTAAGATGGGGCACATTTGGACTACAGCTGAACAAATACGACTACCTGAATGGACAGAGGAGTGAGGTAAACAAAGGAAATGGTGAGAACATGAGTAACCCACGTGACAGCCGAGACACCTGCAGCCCAAAGCCCAGTTCAGCGTGTCTCCCCGAGTTCATGCCAGAGATGTTTACAGAGGACCACGTGCACAGCAAGCCAGCTGGCAATGGAAATCAATCAGGGCAAATGTTCTTTTTAAATGTTTTATCTTAATTCTTGTGTTGTATATGTGTGGGTGTTTTGTTTGCTCATAGGTCTGGCCACCACACGAATGCCCGATGCCCACAGAGGCCAGAGGACAGTATTGATTGGATCCCCTGGAACTGCAGTTACAGGTAGTTGCAAACGGTCATGTGGGTGCTGGGAATCAAACCTAGATCTTCTAGCAGAGCAGCCAGGGCTCCTGACTGCTGAGCACCCCCACCCCCAAATAGAGTGCCCCTTGAAGTTGATCACCACCATCCTCACATACAGAAATATGGTGACAGTAGAAGTCTCATCAAGCAATCCATGAGAGGCTCACATGACTGCCTTTAAAATAAAGGCACCAGTCAAACCTTCTAGCAGTGAAAGCAACAAACCCAAATGATACGGGAGGCTGGGGACAGGGAGAAGGACCTTTGCCTGAGGCTGCATCTGCAAGAGTCCACACCTGGGTCGGGAGGGTGAGCAGTCTCTCCGACCTTTGCTGAAGCCAAAGCTGGTTTGGCCAGATGTGTTTGAATCATACCACCAGGGGGAGTGCAAGAGCCAACACCGACCTCTGAGTTGAGGGGGTTTTCCAGAAACGGATCCCCCCAGGGAAGGTGGAAAAAGTTTTCCCAGTCCCAACTCCACAAAAGCTGGAAGGCCTGGCTGCCTCCATGTGATCTCTGACTCAAGAGCTTACCCACATTTTCCTCTTCCAGTTAAAGCAAACCACATTTTTTTCCATCCCTCCCTTTTCCTGGTTGCCTGTAACTTTCAGCTCCCGTAATAAACACACTTTGGCTCAGAATGTCACTGCACCATAGAAGACCAGGGTCCAAGGACAGGAGTTGACCTGTCCAAATAACCATAGAGTAGGGACCAAGACCAGAGGTGGCTCTCCTCACTCCAGGTCCAGTGCTCTCGGCATATAGGGCCACCACACTCTGTGGGCCTGGGAACTCAAAGCAAAACAACAACAGCAAACTCCTCTGATTATATGTAGTGGGGTTCTTAAGCTGTTCCACAGGTGTAAAAATAATAGTGATGGCAAGGGGGGGTTGAGGGGACCTCGGTCAGCACTCACTGCTACCCAAAGTAGTTTCCGTTGAAGATGGAAATGTTTACTGAACCCCTCTCTCCCATGGTCCTCAGGAGGGGTTACAAGGACATTAAACCGTTTCTTGAGACCTGTTCTCCCCCCACAAGTGGATGGACTCACCCCCTCCCAGAACAAGGAGGTGTTATTTTCTAGCCTGACCCAGCTCCTGGTTGTCCCACACACCCTATTGGAGCCATCCCATCCGCAGGGAGTTACTGGATCAGCAAAGCATTGTTGACATCCACTCCTCCTGGCAAGAGACTCCTTGGGCTCTGCCACTCCGTCCTGGTTCTCTGTCATCCACCCTGCTCGCCCATCGCTGGTAGCTTCCCCAGGCATAGATGGTTTTGGTTCCCTGCCTTCACACACAGCTTCCCCTGTTCCACCTAACTGCCCATCCCCCTTCCCCCCCACCCCACCCCACCCCCAGCTTCCAGAATGACATAGGGACATCCATGCAATTGCCTGTTATGGTCTCTCACGCCACATACCCATGGATATAGGTGGCTTCGTGGCGTTACACTCAGTAAGACCTAAGAAATTTTAGAGCAAGTGAATCAAGTCCTTGGAGATCTGGCTCTAGTTCAGCTCCCCACCCCACCCCTTGTCTCCTCAGCAGATTTTTAGGTCTCACTGCCCCTCCTACCTTCCCTTTTGTCCTAACTCTCCACATCTCCATTCTGCCCCCAGCCTATCCTTCATCTCTGTCCACTGCCAGCCTCATCTTACCTAACTGCACCTCCTCAAATGCACCCAGATTTCCTGATCGACACCCCAAAGTATTAACCCAGGGACTGGAGGTACAAACAGTGGCCCTTAGCCTCACAGAGCTTGCAGCCTGTCCCCTTGACCTGCCCGTGCATGGTCAGGGCTCCACCTGAAACCCCTGAGGTTCATCCTCAAGAAGAAGAGTCCTCAAGTGTTCTCTGCCTAAGACCGCGGGACCCAGCTGTGTGTAACTGTACTGTAACTGTAACACTTACTTTGGGATAGTTGGGATACTCATCATAAAATGGAAGAGCATGGGCCTCTCCTCAGAGCTCTCAGAGACCCCTAAATTGAACACCCCACCCCTCAGTCTCCTGCCTGTCCCGTCCTCCCTACCCCCACCCCCAGCCAGCTCCTAAACTCCTTCAGGGAAAAAGGACGATAGAATCTATTGCTCTCAACTCCTGACCACAGTGAAGTACCTTTCCAAAGTGAACTGTGAAAACAACAAACAACAACAACAAAAAAATCTTAAGTGAATCAATTAACGAAACCAGCTCACTGATAAATCCCGAAGCCAGAGCTGTGCTATGCTAACACAGGCTGGTTTTGGTACATGAAAAAAAGGTCTTGTTTTGGTTTTTGTTTTTGGAGACAGGGTCTCATGTAGCCCAGATTGCCTCCAACACACTGTGTAACCCGGGTGAAATTTTAACTCACATTCTCTTTGCTTCTTGGCACTTTCTGATGTTTCTGTAACAAGTATGGTTTACTTTTGCAATAAAGACCTACAAGGAAACTTTCTGCCAGCGTAGGGAGAGGATGCTGCAAAGGATGTTGAAAAGGACCTCC